CTTAGACCTGGTTTTCACACCTGTAAAATAGATGATAATAACACCTCACTCGTGCAGTTGGGAAAATTGGATGAGATAATGCATGTACAGTTTCAAACAGTGACTGGCACATAGTAGGGACTTTCATTTTGCAGCACAGGAATAAGGAGAGGAAGGAGACTGGAGGTAGAGTTGGCTCTGTCACTTACTCACTAGGTAGCCTGGGCCTCAGTTTCCTCATCTGTAAAATGGGTGGTAATAAGATCTATACTCTGCCCAGTTATTGTGAAGAACTAATGAGATGCTCTATTTAGTTCTCTCCTTCTAACTGTGGACTCATATTTCATTATTCCTCTACTGGTAGACATTTAGTTTGTTTCTAATATGATTAACGATCATGTCATCCATCTTTACTATCCTCTTCTAGTATAACTATTTCTTCTAAGATAATTAGAAGGGGAATTACTGAGTTATAGGATATATTCATTTTCAATATAAATAGATACTGCCAAATTACCCTTCAAAGTGGTGGTACCAATTTATACTCCTACCAGCACTATATGACAGTATCCATTCCCTCCATCCAGCCTCCTCAGTATTAATATGATCCATTTTTGTACTTACCAATGTAATTGAAAAAAGCTAGGTTCCTGTGAGTCTCTGGTCACAACAATTTTGTCAACTGGTCAATACATAACTTTGTTTTGTGTGTTCCTGTTTAAAGACATCTTCTTTAATATATATTATTAATTTATCAAGATTTAATTGATGGCCAAAAGCACCATAACTCCTGCCTGAACGAAGTTTACTCAACACATATATTTTCTCCACAAGGCACATGACAGTCTTTTTTCATGCTCAGGAACGCTAGACAGCACTTCAGCACTATGTTTGGGGGGCATTTTCAACAGTGAAACCACCATTAAAAGTCATAAAAATGCAAAAACATGTCACTCAGTATATCATGAAAAGGACACTTGTTTACAGTATGAGAGCTGAGAAGCTAGAGCATGGCCTTGTTCCACGTCAGCTGGGAATGTGTATGATGGGGCAACTCAAATTTTTTGCTGCTCTGGGCATGTCCACATTTGCAAACCTTGAAAACTTAAGCTTACAGACTACAGGTAAGCTTGAAAAGACCTTGAAAACACTGCAAGTATTGATTTTGAGGTTACATATAAATTTCAGCAAATAGGCAACTTCACAAATATTAAATCTGCAAATAATGATTGCCTGGCACGTATTTACTTCTATTTATATCTTTGCAGTCTATCACTTGTTTTTTAAGTTTATACTATCTTATGCATTATTTTTATTTGATGTCTGTTTGCATTTTATGTAGGCAAATTGCCCATGTCAGGGCACATATAAGAATCAACCAATGGCTCCAGCTGTATTTGGCTCAGTGGATAGAGCGTTGGCCTGCAGACTGAAGGGTCCCCGGTTCAATTCTGGTCAAGGGCACATGCCTGGGTTGCGGGCTTGATCCCCAGTAGGGGGTGTGCAGGAAGCAGCTGATCAATGATTCTCTCCCATCATCTCTCTCCCTCTCTCTTCCTCTCTGAAATCAATAAAAATATATATTTTTTAAAAAGAATCAACCAATGAATGCATAGTAAGTGGAACAACAAATCTCGCTCTCTCTTTCTCTCTCTCTAAAAATCAATAAATAAGAGTGAGCACCAAAGCCCCATCGAAGCAAGTCTAGCCCCAGAGGGGTGTCTCCAGCACAGAAGTTCTCCCACCGCAGACACAGCTGATTCTCACAGCCAATTGGCCTGGAGGTCAATTCCTCACAGTGATAACTACAACAATCAAGGCTTAACCACAACAAGACTGTGCACAAAGCCCACAAGGGGGTGCACCAAGAGTGTCTACCTCAGGTAATTGGGACACTTAGCACAGAAAGGCACTCTATCGACATAGCGAAGCATAAAAAATGCCTAGACAAAGAAACAGGACACAAACGACAGAATTGGAGGAAAGCAAACTGTTGGATATAGAGTTCAAAACCACACTTTTAAGGCCTTTAAAGAACTGTTTAGAAGCCGCCGATAAATTGAGTAAGGCCCTCGAAAAGACTGGTGAGACCGCCGATAAATGTAGTGAGATCCTCGAAAAGACTGGTAAGACCGCCGATAAATGTAGTGAGATCCTCAGGAAATCTAATGAGACCCTCGATGTTGTGATAAAGGACCAACTAGAATTAAGCATACACTGACTGAAATAAAGAATATTATACAGACTCCCAACAGCAGACCAG